TGTCATTTTCACGACTGTTGTGTGAAATGTTGTAAAGGAATTTTAGTTACTGGGCTAAAATCTACATTGAAAACATTGAGTCATTTGGTTTTGAAATAATAACAGGTAGCTTTTATTTTATTCTAACAATGATATCTCGGCCATTTTGTAAGTTTAAAATCTCAAATTTACATTTAGTTATTTTGCTCTTAAAGAACAGCAAGTAGGTACTATGTAGGTTTAAAATCTCAAATTTACCTTTAGTCATTTTGTTTAGAATTAGCTTTTATTTTATTCTGATATTGATTTCTCCACCACTATGTAAGTTTAAAATCTCAAATTTACCTTTAGTCATTTTGTTTTGATGTAGCTTTTTTTTAATTCTGATATTGATTTCTCCACCATAAAGTAATTTTTAAATTGTAAATTAGCAAAGTTTGTCTTTTATCGACTATAATAATACGACTTGAAACATGTGAACTTTCTATCAGCTCTTGTCGTTCCTTCAATTTGATGCTTTAACTTGTATTAATAATCCATGGGATTGGGTAGCCAAATGGTTTTAAGCATGTGCACTAGATCTGAAGGTCTGTCATTGAGTCAAGGGGTGTAGTTTCGATTCCCTGCTTGTATGTGACAAGAAGTAGGGTCACCTGTATAATCTTGTGGGTTTTCTCTGGGTCCTCTGGTTTCCTCCCACTGCTAAAGAACCCTGAAATATGTTAGTCCCTAAATGACCTAGTTTGTGTCGAGTGGACGTTAAACCCCATCTCTCTCTCTCACTCTGGTAATTATCCTGTTCTATTAAGCATCGTCTCACATAAGTAGGATTGATACACTCTGAATAAGCGTTGCTTCGTTGTTAACAGTTGGGAGCCAAATAAATATAGTACCTAATCAATTTTTAGAAAGTAAACTATCTAGGATATTGACTAAGGCTTTCAAATCCAATTAATAAAGACTTTATAGTTCATTTATACAGTCCACTTTTATTTCTGTTAAATTGGACATCCTGGCATCCATGCTGTTAATGTGATAGATTCAAATAAAAATAAATCGAAATATGAAATAAAAAAAATATTGCGCAAAAATAAGTTGCAAATGAATTTATTTAATGACATTTAAAAAATAATTGAAAATTGCAGAAAACTGTCTTGTATTATTGGAAGCCACAGTGGCTCAGTGCATAAGATGTTATCTCGCTAACCAGGACGTCTCTGGTTCGCTCTTGGGTGTTGGTCGAGAAAGTTTCCCAAGATTTTTCAACATGCTTTCCTCTTGTAAGTGGTGCAGGAAGGAGGGTCTGAAAAGGGATATTGTCTAGTCATTTGGATGGGACAAAAAATTGAGGTTGTGTGTACACATTGAACCCTTGACAATTGGAATTCAAAATAAGAGGAGGCTAGGATGTAGTGCCGGTGTCTGAGCAAAATTCAGACTGTATAGCCTATGTTCATCTTCATTAGCCCAGTCGGTGCACAAAAGTAGGACGTTAAACCCCATTTCATTTTGTTTCTATCTTTGATTGATAAAAATTGACCTAATTAAGAACCCAGATGTGTTTAGGTGAACATAAAAATTTATTCGGTTATTTATATTTATTGCAATAATTTCAAAAGACTTGTAAATGAATTAATTCATTCAAATAATGTTTTATTCAGAAATAATTACTTTTTACTAGAGTGTCTGAAACCACCTCTGATGTATTTATTTAACATGTGGGGGTGGAATGGGGTTGTGACCAAATTGTTTAACAAATGCGTGATAGATCATAAGGTCTATCATTGTGTCAAGTACAGTGGTTTCGATTCCTTGCTTGTACGTGACAAGGAGTAGGGTCGTCTGTCTAACCTTGTGGGTTTTCTCGTGGGTCCTCCAATTTTCTACCACAGCTAAAGACCCTGTACGCGCAAGCAAATTATCATGCGTTGGTCCTGAAATGACCTTCTTTGTGTCAAGTAGACGTTAATCTTCAAAATTACTATCTAAAGAATGTATTTCTGCTATTATTTTTTTAAATTTAAAGAAATGAGGCTTTAGAACATAAACGTTAAGGAATATCTGATCTTGAAAACATTTAATATAATTTATTAGAATGAATTTTCTATTTCTGTTTAGAGCAGGAAGTAATTGGAAGTCTGAAGCCGGATAGATCTGTCCTGTCTACAGCAGTCAGATGATCTTCAGAAATGAGGCTCGGAAATCTAAAGACTCTATCAAAATAAAATTACTTAAAGGGGCATTATGTAAGATTTAGATAAAAAGCTGGACGTTCTCGCTATAATGTTTCAAAAATAGACACTGCGAAATTAATATATTGAAAATTTCAATCAAATTCCTTTTTTTTTGAGAAAAATTATCAATGGTTGTAGTTTTGACAGGATGTGTGCATTGGCTGTCTCGGCCTTGCCTCTCCATTTTTAAATTAAATCATTAAATGGCTGAACTGTTCTAATCTACTTAAAATCGGAGGCATCCAATGCTATCGAGAGTTGACTATGGTCTGGATAAGTTAATTAATGTCTAATTAATAGTTTATATAACATTTAAGGCCTAAAGAAAGACATGCAATAGGCAGATTTAGCTCTTACATAATGCCTGTTTAAAACTGAAAATCATTATTTTTATATATACTGTATTTTTAATGCATAGGACATTATTTTCCTGGAACCCTGGATTATTTTCTTCCTCTAAATGGAAATTTCACGTAAAGACTGTGGCTAGAGTTTGATTATATCATTTAAGAGATTTCATAACAGTGTCCAGTCGTTTGGATAGGACTAAAAAAACAAGGTCCCTAGGTGTACACATGGGCATTCATAAATTGAAAGTTGCAATAAGACAAAGAGAAGGCAGAAGCGTTGCTGTGCAGGCCAAATTCCTCCATATTAGCACACTGTATGGCGTATGCCTGTCTTCATTAGCCCAGTCGGAGCAGATAAACAGGAGAAGTTAAACCCCATTTCGCTTCTGTAAAATCAGAATCTTTATGTGTTCTCAGTAGAACAAAAGAAATTTGTATTTTATATCAACATTGCTCTTGACACCAGGATTGCAACAGGACTGTCAGTCTTGAATTTGAACCCTAGTGTTCCATAGAAATACCATTTTATTCTATTTTTTTTGTGATTTTATCTGGAAATTTGTGAATAATGGCTTTGAACCCACCACTGGCTGTGCTGCAGCAAGAAGCCAGCCAGCGACAGTGCTTAGTAACCCTTAGTGAATAACGATCAAGGGTACCACACTGCCGAGTAGGATTTACAAAATACTGATACTGACAGAAGGCAACCCATCATTGCAGCTTCTGCAACCAGTGAGAAACTGTTGGTCATGTAAAAAAACACCTTAAGGGCTCTCATAATTTCTCAGTTGTGATTGGACAATGCCAGACATACATGTATGTGTTGAATAATTTACAGACCAATCATAATAGAGAAATTAAGTTAGCCCTCTAACTGTTTCGTACTGGTTGTGGATGCTCTAGTGGTAATAAAATAGACATGACTAACTGCCCGGATGTTAAAAATAGCTGCACCTCCTGCCCCTTGTCTGCGATATCTACCTTGGTGGAAGCGAACGACCCCACCCCCACACTTCCTTGCACTTATCTTATACTGAAATCCTGCTTAGTACGTAACCTGTGTGAACCCGTTAGACAGAAATAAAGTTATTGTAATTATGTACGTAACCTGACTATACAGTTGATTCAAAATAAAATGTTTTATTGTAAATATATTCATCCTCTGTCAGTGTTTACATGGCCGAAGGTTTAAATTTGTGAAAGTTACCATACTTGAAAGGATCTGAGACAATTAGGTCATCATTTTGATTACACAACCCGATCATTTCGGACATGTAAATATATGTTCTTAGTACATGTATATATATAAATATGTGGAATTTTAGGGAATTAACTTGTAAACGATTGTTTCCAATAATCATACGGTGATAGTCTCATTCGTAAAAGCTGATCTGTAATCAATATTTGGGTAAAATGAAACTCGGGGGACAGATCTATAACCTTTCGTCTTTAGTTTACGAAAATATTTACATAAACCTGTGACATTGTCTACGAGGTTCGGCTTCTGTTAAATCTGGTCCAAAAAATATAAATATTTTGGTAACAGGGGTTACGTCTATTGTTTCCTTTGGAAGATTTCCTAATCTGTGTGTATTAGCTCCAAGGTGAACTCCTGTAACTCGTCGGGGGTCATTGCTTTCACCGTTATTGATTTTTGGCAAGAGAACCAATAGAACAAGAGCTATAACCAGTGCCTTCAAACAAAAGCTTTAACCTTTTGTTTATTTGTTTATTTAAACCAAAGTGTTTACACAACCCTGCTAGATTTGTCTTAATCGTTCGACTATTGAGTTCAAACATTGGTTAGGGAGGGGTTTCTAACTCCTATTTGCGAAAAACTTAAATCTTTTATAAAAGATATGTTCTGTCAAGTATAAGTTATTTTTTTTCTGTAAGTCTGGTATTTACAGTGTCCTGGAAATATATCGTATCTTATAGACTTAATATTTTCCAAAAAATGATGTCTCATTCCACAAAACAAATCAAATTAAATCCAGTGAAATCGAACATCTTCTTTTTGACCCAAATCAAAGTGATCTAGCCATTTTAAGATCATAAAACTGAGTTTGAGAAAATTTTAGGGAATAGTTAGTATTGGGGTAAAAGTGGTCCTTATCAGATTTTGTAGTAGTTCCAGATTGGTTAGCCTTGACACCAACTGATACAAATGTTGCTAAACCAATTTAATTTTTAATTTCTCTTGTTTTGTTAAATATTTTGGAACTATAAGCTTTTGACAAGAGCAGCCAATTAATTTTTGATTGTAAATAATTTTTTTGCTCGCTTTCTGCTTTTGTGGACCGAAATCAGCCGTTCATGATCGCAGCTTGATGAAGCTTGCTGGAAACAACATGGTTGCTCTAGACGTAATCAAACTTTTTTTAATTTTATTATGATGTCTATTATATAATGTATTATTCTATTTTCTAATTCTCAGGGCTCCTTCCCAAGAACAAATTTTGGATTCAAGGTCTACTACCCTGCAACTCGAGAAGTTCAAGAAAGCCAGATTCAGGAATAACATTGATGTTTGGAATAGTTTTGACAGATTTGGAGAATAGAATTTACCTCCTCTGTATTTGGACAAGGCGTGTGTGGTTTTGTGAAAAATTATAGACTTTGCGCTAGAACAACTAAGTTGTTGAACGATCTCATGGTAGACTTTTTACGACATTCACGATGAAAGAGTGGTCAGTTTACGGGGGATTTTACAAATTATCTTTGCAATATACTTAAACATGTGATGGGGAGGGTGGGGGGTCTGGGGTCCTCCGCAGAGAAAATTTTGAAAAATCAAAGTGTGATTATTGAGGCATATCTCAACCTAATAATCATATTCAATTTCATCGGCTACATCAACCCAGTGCCTCCCCCAGGTGGAACTGCCACTGGACATTATTCTACATAGGTGGTGATTTGTGCCGCATATCTTCAATCAGCTTCATCACCCAAAACAACAAATAGCTAAAATTTACATGGAAATAGAATAATAAGTGTTATTTAGGGATTTTTTCGTGTACTCTCCCAACCTCCACACCCTGATCTGCCATTGGACATTACATAAATTTGTATGGTATTTAAAAGAAAGGGCAGTAACTGAGTTGTATTATTTATTTTTTTTTTTTTAAAGAAATATTTGTACAGTACTTTTCTTTCTATTTATGTTTGAGTCAGTGTAATTGAACTTCACATCTTTTATATGAATCTGTTAGACCATACAAAAAAAATATACTGATTCTCTGATACTCTTGCGTCACTTAAAAAGGGACGTATGACTTGTTTTTATTTCAAAAAATAAAAATTAAATAAAAAAATTCCCCCGGTTACAGGAACCCTTTTTGGGGAACAATTGTTCAAGAACCAGAATATTATTTTTGTATGGCCTTAATTTGTCATTTATCCGTAATTTTATACCAGTTACTGATTTTAAGATCATTTCTCAGGAAAATGTGGTATAAATACTGATATATTATGTTGAAGGGTTTTACGATATATACCACTTTCCTGATACTAGATATCTAAATATTACCTCTTATCGACAAAAGAGTAAACTTGACACACCATCCGAATTACCTCGATAATCCAGGCTACATTTACTCACGTTCTGTTTCCCAAACTCATCCACAAAGAATAAATAAGTAATTGTTTTATTTACCATGTCTGAAAATTCCAAACAGAAATATTGAGCCATTTTGGATTGATTGCTAGATTTGATTAACAGCTTTCATAACTCATTTCATTCTTCAGTTGTTTCAGTGACTTGATAATTACACCTATCAATTACCCTCCTTAAGCAAGTATATAGACATAGTTATCAAGGCACTTACACTGCATGGAATCTGTGGATTGCTCCTTTAATAAGAAATTATTATATTTAATCTTGGGATGCATTCACATGAATGAAATGGGGTTTTAGTTTTTCTCCACTAACTAGACGAGTGAAGACTGGTGTATTCACATACTAAACACAAAATCAATTTAGATCCTGGTTTTATATTGAGTAAAAGAGCAAAACAAATTTAGATATATGAAATGTACATAAACTAATAAATTAAGAATTTAATCAGCAGAGCCATCGGAACTCCATTTTGGATCTCTATGCCGACAGCCTCTTCCCCAATATGAATTTTATTCCGACAGGTGTGATTAATATAAACTTCAGATAATTGTCTGATTCCATGCCTGAAACTTGTAACAATGTATTATGTATATATTTGTAAATATGTAACATATTTATATTTTAAGTGTAATAATAATAAAAAGCACTGTCAATGACATTAATGTTGTTTTTTTCCTCACCTGTGGACTTGTAGCAGAGTGTCTTATGTCATATTCATCTCAGTAACAATGGATAATATTTTTATACGCCCAAACTTTCATGTGGATGTATATTGTCGTCGCCCCTGTCTGTCTGGACAAAGTGTCTCCGCTCCTTGTACGCAAATAGTGTGACTGTGAAAGTATTAAATAATAGTAATACAAAGGTTGTAGACCCTCTAGAGGTCACAATTTTTGTCCGATTTTGATAAAACTTAAAATATGTTTATATCCCAAAGATTTCAGTTGCTTTCGATATTCGCGCATATCAGACTGTAACTTCCTGGATTATGGCCTCATGGGATAAAAAAAGACATGGTTCAGTGAACGTTAAACCCCATTTCATTTGCTTTCTAAATCGCTGAAAATCTCTAGGCTTCTTCGTCTTTTGGCTCTAAACAATGTATACAAGTTTTTAGCCTCTAGAGCGTCCCCAAGCAATGGACCCACGGACTGAGGTGGTGATAATATATGACCACATTTCAATGTGAGAAACTTCCAATACATAGAAACAGATAACACAAACCAATTACAGACGGTTTGATGGGATCAATTTTGACTGTCAAAATGATGCATTTTTGATATCAAATTGACGCAATTTTGATATTAAATTGATGCATTTTTGATATCAAATTGACGCATTTTTGATATTTAAATAAGTTGATGTACAATAATAAATAGAATACAATACCAAAAAAAACATTGTTTGTATTTGATTGTTCATCCCTGAAGAAGTTAGTATTTTCACCAACGAAACATTGGATAAAATGATGGTTTTTTTTGATATTGTATTCTATTTATTATTGTACTTTACATTTCAAAGTGGACGTATAAAACGTTGTTTCAACCACTAAGAGATTGATGTTGATCAGGAATAAGAAATGGGAATATTTCTGATCGTTCTCCATGTGGACAGTTGTTAAAGGGAATCGACCGTTCATGACTGGGATCACACTATTGTGACAACTTGACTAAGCTCACTAGAAACCATGGGGTTGTTGTAGGCCAGGGATGCAGTTTCAAAATTTTGCACTTCAGACATTTTGGTTGGGGTTAATAAAGGCCAGCATTAGGTAACCAGAAGTGGTCGTCAATCCGCCAGTTTCATTAAACTTCCATACTCTTTAGTACATTTCAACTATGTATTTTGATGTCCAACATATTCCCGCTCAGATGTTTGAAAACTTGCGTAGGACATGTCTGGCAATGTCGTTGATATTGTTAAAAGCAACAAAGCAAACTAAAATTTTATTTATTTTAACTAGTTTTAATATCTACATACTGTACAGTATTATTGTATAATTAATAAAATACATTCAATTTAAAATAGGTCGTAGCTATATAATTGAGAATATCATACAATGGACTAGTCAGTAGACAGCCTGAAACTGAGAATAAAATTCATCAAGATGATATTTAAAGACATTTCAAACAGAAGTTTGAATGGGCACAAACATGACCATCTATATCATCAGGAACATTTACAGACATGCTTATAAAATATAGGATTTCTTCGTTATTTTATTATAACCCCTGTTCCCAATGAAGTTTAGGATTTGTTTCTGGAGCACATCTCAAAAAGATATTTTTTTATGAAACATTGTACACACCATAACCTATTATTGTGGTTGTGCCTTTTACTGATTAAAAATGAAACATAACCATACATGTAGTAGCATGTAGTGTAACCTCCCCATCCCCCAATGAAATGGTAAAAATTGGTTAAATTATTCTATTACTTTTAAAAAATGTAGTGTAACCTCCCATTCCCCCAATACCTATCGTGTTACTTTTATAAAATTGTAAAAATTGGTTAAATTTATTCTATTACTTTTAAAAAAATTCCATTATTTGTCAATCAATGCCATGATAAAAGTAAATTATTTGTAGTAGTACTTATAACAATGAACAGTTGAATAAAATAGATAACAGATAAAATTAATTAATGTATGTACAAGTGAATTAGTCCAATCAGATCAAAATACCTTCAGTCTTTCGTCAAGTCCTTCTAAAATCTTTTTGACCCAGCTTTGAAACTAATGACTGCTAAATCCTTAGACCCTAGCTTTGAAACTAATGACTGCTAAATCCTTAGACCCTAGCTTTGAAACTAATGACTGCTAAATCCTTAGACCCTAGCTTTTAAACTAATGACAGCTAAATCCTTAACCCTAGCTTTTAAACTAATGACTGCTAAATCCTTAGACCCTAGCTTTTAAACTAATGACAGCTAAATCCTTATACCCTAGCTTTTAAACTAATGACTGCTAAAGCATTAGATAAAATGGAGTATAACATCCTACTGTTCTTCTCCAAATGGGCTAATGAAGACAGTAAATCCTTAGACCCTAGCTTTTAAACTAATGATGGTTTAACCCTTGTGACCTAGATTTTTAACCAATAAATTGATAAACCCTAGCAACCTAGCTTTTAAACTAATAAAGAAACTGAATCATTTTAAGACTGATATTACCTCGAGAGATTTAAAATGACCAGCAAAATTAATAGATGAAGTTCGAGAGAGAAATGGGGTTTAACGTCCACTCGAAACAGACTAGGTCATTACAGGACTAACAAGTGGTTCAATTTTTATTTCAATAATTCGCTTGCGCATAGGGGTCTTTAGTTGTGGGAGGAACCCGGAGAAAACCCACGAGGTTGGACAGGCACCCCTACTTCTTGTCACATACAACCAGGGAATCGAAACCATGTCAGCTGACTCAATGACAGACATTATGACACAACGCGCACAGGCTAACCATTCAGCCCCCCTAGATGAAGTTCGAATTAGACTGTTTAAAAAACATAATCTACTTGGAACCCAAAGTGGAAGTAAAGGTATCACATTTAATTTTACCAATTTTTCTCTGCATCAACTGATCAGATTTAATTCTTAAAATATTTATTAGAAATTGAGTATTATTACCAGAAATAAATGAAATTGACAAAGATATAGAAGATCTTGACTGTATTTTAATCTGACTGGACCTATTATTAACAAGTGATTTAAATAAGGCCATACAAAAATATAATATTCTAGACCTCAGATATCAAGCAAGTCACTTGAAAGGGACTGCATAAAAAATATTAATTACAGCACTTTCATATAGTCCATGGTAAAGGGAGTTAACTTTATTAAATGTTTTTCGGAAGTTTACATTAAGTGCAACCTGGATAAATGTTATTAACTGACTCTGGCTACCACCACTTCGATTACTTCATTTTTAAAGACCTTTAGAAGTGCATTCTTATGTGGTAGAAAATTAACCCTAAAACTACATCTAGCCATGAGAAAGATGACCGAAATAATGCTCCAAGATAGATGGAGGTGCCAGATTGAAGGAGCTGGATTTACATTAGAACTATGACATCCAAGACGATTGGCTATAAATGAACTTGTATACAGAATTAATTTTAGATATGTAATACAAGAATTAATATTATGTAAGTAAATTCCTATACATAGCATCGTTAAGATATATGTAATAATTATACTCCAATGCTTACATCCACAGACCTGAGATGACTGCTTATAAATTTGTATTTAACTTAGTATACAGAAATAAATTTTAAGACATGTAACCCAAGAATGTATGGTAAATCTGATTAAAATACAGATCTATATTTCGCTTTTTGTTTTTTTATACATTCGATGGCCTCTACTACATGAAGATCTAAACAGTTGTAGTGGATGGTCACGTCAGGGGTCATACAAGCGAGTTTTGACCCTATGACATCGGAAATTTGACTAACCAATCAGTGTTGATGTTTCTTGTGAGTTACCCATAGTTCTGTGCACCTTGTGTCAAGAACTTCCTGTAACAGGCCGTTCCATTGGTTAATCCCTCACATCATCCGGAACGCAGGTTATATAACAACTCTTCCAGATCCTAGTGTAGTAAAGACAAGTAAAACGAAATTTTGACCTATAAAAAACGAAACAAAATAGGTTCTGTGTTTTAATCCGATTGCAGCATGGTTAGATAAATATAGAACCTTGAAATCCGATGATTATTTTTAAAGTCATTTTGCCACTTGATCTTTTGACAAATTTTTTTTTAAAAAATCCCTCCCGCTCTTGATTTTTTGTTTGGCCTTCCAACAAGTGATTAAACTACTTTCTTGTATTAAAACCAGCCGATTTTAACCGCGGACTTCGGCGTAAATGTTCTAAAACTTTTGGTTTAGTAGGTGTTGTATGTGTTCTTTGCCTTTTGCGCTGCGGGCTGGAACAACCGTCATCCTGCCGTTTAAGATTTTTGTTACTATTTTCTATGTCTATGGCTGTATTCAATCTCACTGCTCTATCCACTAAACATGTTGTATTCTGTAAAAATAAAAAGTAAACAAAGGCTTTAATTACATCATTTATTCTTTTACAGCCAAACAATATATTCTTAATAACATAGTTAATGAATGATACATATACCCACAGAAAGATTTGTCATCAATTATTAAAAAAAAAAACACACTATAAAATTTATTAAAGATACATTATGAGAGATTAGATAAAGAGCTGGCAGTTCTCACTATAATAGTTAAAACCTTGATAATGTAAAGGGAATTTGCTGAAAATTTCAGTGAAATTGATCCACTCGAAACCAAGATTTTAGCGATTTCCATTTCTTGATTTAATTATGAATGGAAGTCGAACAGGAAATCGGAACCAAAACCAATAAACATCGCAGGCTAGTGATGCCATCGAGAGTTGGTTATGGTCTGGATGGGTTAATTAATGTCTAATTAATAATTTAGATAACATTTCAGACCTAAAGAAAGACCTGCAATAGGCAGATTAGCTCTTGCATAATGTATTGATGTATGTGTTTAAATTAGATTATCAAGACAAGCCTGATTGGGCTTCACAAATTAAATCAAGTGAGTGTGGGATAGCTTCAATCTTGACCCCAGAGGTAAGTTTACCTTTCATTTATCTCTGGTAAAACGCGCCAGCCATTTTAGAATCGGCAGCATTTCATTCTAACAAATCCTGCCAATCAGTAGCCACTAGGGGCAGAGCTAAGAAACCAATTTCAGGCTGATTAATGGCTAGAGAGTTTTATCAGAGATAAACGAAGGGTAAACTTATCTCTGAGATTGAGATTGGGATAGCTTACAGGTTAAGAGATCAAATTTCTAGGAGCATAACTATATGCAACCCAAAATTCCCACAGGGTTCTAATATAATCCACCGATCTGTACACAAATATGTATGGGGTTGTTGATACACTCATTTGGCATTCGTGCTGGATCGGAGGCGAATTTTGGCTACAGAAATTCAGGCTATCAATGCACTTTTATCTATTCCACTGAATGCTTCATGGAAATGAGGGATCAAACTCAAACAAGAATGTTCAAAAATAATATTCCAGTCTGTATAGTACCAAGAATATCCCTTCTATTTTCAGCATTCATCATGTCTTTTTGGTATTTTCGGCTAATACTGTGCCTGATGACATCCAGGCAAAAATACAGAAATTCAGCAACCTCAACCTGTAAAACCCCACTCAACCACCTAATGTTGACAGCACTGGATTTCAAAAATGGAATACGGTTTAATCTCCTACTTTTCTGCACCAATTAAACAAATGAAGACTGAAGGATTTCAGACTCAGAGTAATGGGGCACTAACTCTATACTTATTTTACTGCACAGCCACCGAATTCAAAGAAAACATTCCTTGGTGTCATTTTTCTTAATTGGCTCAGAACTTGAAATTCAAGAATTTTTTTTTTTAGCTTTGGCTGTTTTTAATAATAAACTGATCATAACATACCTTAGACAGATTTAAAAGTTTTTCTTTCATTTCGTGTAATTTTGTAAATAAATTTGTTTCTACATTCAAAACAGCTTCTGGACAGGTTTTTGACGGCCCGGCACAAACGTTCAGTGTGTTCTGAAAATAAAAACCAACTTTCAAAATTATATTACAAATGTGGTCATGTAAACAAAACGGTGAATATGGACATATGCCATACCCTTTCATGTGCAAGCTAATGTGTACACCGGTCAGGGCCTCAGTTCTTTCATCCCTTTCTATTCCCTGCAGTGTACACCACTGACAAGGGGATATCACACTAAAATATCCTGATGAAATTTCTTGGCCAGCATCTTACTGAGTCACTGTTTCTAACAACCATTTTTAACTATTATGCCCTTATTGTCGTACATATATCTTATACAATGCAAATCATTTATATTGTGAACTGTTTTAGTGGTCTTTATGGGATAGATTGGATTTAACAATAATAAGCAAAATATGAAATGAAATGGGGTTGAACGTAACATCCTACTGTTATGCTCCGACTGGGCTAATGAAGACGGATATACGCCATACAGTGTGCTATGAGGGAAATATTGCCTGGGCAGCGGCACTATGGCCTACTCTTATAACAAATTCATACTGCCAAGGGATCTTTTACGTGCAAGCCAACGTATACATGCCCCTCATTTTTTTGTCCCACCCGAATGACTAGACAGTTGTCCTTGTCAGGCCCTCTATCCTGCACCACTGACAAGGGAAAACCACACCCGACCTCCAGACTAGCAAGCCAGTGCCTTACCCACCGAATGACTAGACAGCTCCCTTGTCAGGACCTCCATCCTGCACCACTGACAAGGGGAAACCACACCCGACCTCCAGACTAGCAAGCCAGCGCCTTACCCACTGTAATGCGAGCAACATTTTGTGATATCATTCTTGTGCTGGTTAATCACAAAAGAATCATGTATTACATCCCTCCAAATAAATCTTCTTTGTGCTGGATAACAAGAGAATCATTTTTATTCAACATAATGTTTACCATGTGTATAATTTCTTTGTTCAGTTTAGCCTTGTAGGCTTTCGTGCATTCTATTGGTTGCCTTTTCCTTATAGTTGCAATATCCTTAACTGCATCATCAAGTTTAGCTGTTAAATCGTACTCCATCCAGTTTCTTCTTACAGGTTCTAAAATAATTGATATAAATAATCAAAATCGATGCAGTTTATTTCATAATGATAGCATGGGAACTATACAAGGATCTCACCTAAATGTAATAAAAATCCATGAAGTGAGTTTATAGTCTAGTCGGAGCAGAACAGTAAGACGTTAAACCCAATTTCATTTCATATCGCTGCTATTTATTACAATAAATGGGCTTATAAGCATCTATGAGCTGGCTAGTGGGATGATTTAATCAATACTAATTCAATATTTCCACATTATTGTGAAAAACTGACAGAATATTAAGGTACCATAGCATGCAGCAGTATTTACTATTTGTTATTGAGTTAGTATCAATGCCAATGGCAGGTGTATTCATCCTGCTGTAAGAACATAACATAATCAATCTACACAATGTAATATCAAACATCTGTCTGTCTCACCTTCTTCTTTTTGTGGAGTAATTAACGTTGTATAGGCTGTTTCAAATATCTGCAACAAACAAAAGAATAGTCATCATAAAATAAACTACAAAATAAAATACCAACACTGTCAGATTTAGGTGTGTAACAATGTAACTAAGCTACTGTCAGAAGAGTCAGTTACTGACACTCAACCGAGTCAGTGCAACTGCAAGTGAGTCAGTGACATTTAATCACATTTAATTTGACATGTCAAATAATACCCAACTTCCGACTCAAGTCACTTGTTTGTAGACACTTTAGTTTAGTCAATCGATTTGCAAGTACAGCGAAAAATGGTAAATAATGACACACAGAACCAGCTTAAAGTTGGGTTCTATAACCTCTATATATAGATTTTGTATGAGCTGAACATCTTCTGTTCTTGTTCTGAAGTCTAAAAAGAACTCAAGAAAAAATGACCGGTAGGAACCAAAATATTACCTCGCGAAATCTGTGTTTACATCGTTCCTTTTGTTCTTTTGAGAGGTCTCCATTGTTGCCTATAATTTCATCAATCTGTTCAAATATAATTGAAAGCTGATTATGGTGTGAATCAGTGGAAGCACTACTATTTTGATCCTTTCCTAAGGTTTTGTCGTTTTCAACAAAATCCGCCATTTTGAAAATTTCGTCATTGCGCCTGCGTAAAAAAAGAGGGGAGGTAACTCTAACGAATGCCGGAAGAAAATAAAGTGAAAGTAAAGATGGGTGATGTTCAGTACGAAGTCGTAGATGTTCATAGTCATCTAACGGACTCTGATTTCGAAAAGGTTGAAATTAAACATTTTTATTATTTATTTATGCCCTACGTCACAAGATGTAAAATTTTAAAAGTAAAAACAATCATAACACGCATCATCATGATTACTGTCACACATCCACTCACCTAAAGTTTGACTGAAAAGAGCCAAATCAGCCTTTCAAATGAGATTTAACGCCCAGTCAATACAATCTAAGTCATTTTTACTTCATTCGGTCATTTCGAGACAAACATATTTTATACTTTCAAGTGTACGTTTGCATGTAGGCCTCAGGTTTCATACAATTGGGGGAAACTGCGGAGAACCCACAGCCCACAATAAAGGTTTGAATCAGGCAGCAACATTTCATCCTTCTTAATGAACAACAATTTGTGAACAATCACAAGAAATTGTACATTTGAAATAAAATTGCACCAAATAACACTAATTTCTATGTGATTCGGTTTGTTTCTAGTACCAGTAGTAAACTTTAGAATCATGGCTTAAATATCAACCTTGAATTTTATTGCAAAATAATATATATCTTACTTTATGACATTTTGTTTACAGGACATCTCTGACGTTATTTCTGCAGCTCAAAAGGTAATGTCATTTAAGACCAATCGTCCAATGTTTACAAAGCCATCTTCAGTGCGCTAGAAATAGATCTGTAGTTTTATCATTGAAGTGAAATTTAAGTGAATGGTTGTTTCATTGACCCAAGTCCATCGAGCATGTATCAATGGCAGCGATCCATTTCGCTTATGGTAGGAAGCCATCAAATCATCGCATTACTTTTACTTACAATAATGTAGGCTATGTAAACTAAAGCCGTTAGAGAACATTTGAAAATTAATTAATTCTAAAAACTGATTTGAGGTGAACCGAAACATCAAAATTTTAAATCCAAAACTACATCTTTCTATGGGTTTCGACACAAGTCGCTATGTTTTGCTTGATAATGTGATCAGTGCAGTTTTCGCAGGGTGAATAGGATTGGTGAACTTCTGCCTTTAATTTTACACCATATATGGAGCTACATGTATACATTAGCTATAACAATAATTACAAACCAGTATGAAGTATCAAATGTAAATAAAGAGTCTATTGTTAATTGTATTTATTTTATGAATGTTATTTTCCAGAGAGGAGTAAAAGCTGCTTTGGTTGTTTCTATTGGAAAAGATGATTTTCCTAAAGTTATAGAATTGAATAAAAGGTACATTTATTATTCATATATTTGCATGATCTTTAGATATAAGGCCTTGATCCTGGTTAGCCTGCCTACTCCTAGGGCTTTCCTCTCACTGCTTAATACCCCTACATAGTACATAAATTAAAGGTCGCATAGTTAGTCGACAATGACCTAGTTTATGTTAAGTGGATGTTACCCCACTCCCACCCCCTATTTATTAAATTGTGTATTTATTGCAATTTTAAAACTATTAAGTAGAAAGTATTCTCAGTGTGTTTTTTTTTTTAAACTGGATTTCTCTGAATTTCGCATTATTTTTTTAGATTTCCAGATTTTGTTGTTCCTTGTCTTGGTATACATCCAGTTCAGGTATAGGTTTATTTTATCAGGGTGGGGTGGGGTGGCCTAATGGTTTAATGTGTGTGCTTTAGATCATAAGGTCTGTCATTGAGTCAAGTGGTGTGGTTTCGATTCCCAGCTTGTATGTGACCAGCAGTAGGGTGCCTGTCCAACCTTGTGGGTTTTCCCGGGTGCTCAATTTTTCCCTCTCTGCTAAAGACCCCTACATGCAAGTGAATTGTTGAAATAAAATTGAACAATATGTTAGTGATACGTTCAGAGCAGAATTTTGATTTAGGTCAACTGATGGCCGCCATTTTGAAGTGAATATGAAAAAGTTAGTCCCATAATGACCTAGTAATTGAAACAGGTTATGCAGGTATTTGTTCTTATTTGTATTTTTATGTTGGTTTAAATTAGTGACCTGTGAGATGGCAAAATGAGTCCAAAGTTGCAGGTCTTTTACTATATGAAGAAAAATGTTGAAATAGGATAAAAAAAATTTTTTTTTGCAGGGACATGGTGACAATCAAAGAAGTGTAACTCTACAGGTAAATAGATATGCATAGAATTAAAATATGAATATTCCAAAAATATCAAAGTAGCGATGCTTGATTTGCATTTTTCTCATGGCTTAATTCATGCTAATACATGATGTATCAGATTGATTATTTAACATTTGATAATGAAAAGATCAAAATACTAACACTAAATAATATCATAGCTTGGAGTCAATCGGATTTAAAACAGGCCCATCAACCACACTCTTGTTACATAGGGAGCAGTGCAGATCAATAGAATTTCAATTCGTCATATCTCTGTTAATACTGAACGGATTTTAACCATTTTTGGACTGATATTCTTATTAGAGATTCAACTTAGGGATTTAAAGTGCTTAAATCATGCATAGAGTCGTGAAGTCTCAAAAGGATTTAATTTTAAACATCCATAGTCCAGATTTTATCTCTGAGATGTACTAGATGCCTACATTCTGTAAAATATAGTGACTAATTTTATATATTTGTCATTTTCTGATGGGATAAATTTAAAGCGTCAAGCTTCAGATCTGATGTGAGTCACCAGTTAGATACAGTTTTAATCTGAAAACTGTATTTGACAAGGAATTGTATAGATTTAATGTTTTTTGTAGGATTTTGAAGGAGTTGTTGATATTATAGATTTAATATGATTTTTGTAGGATTTAGAAGGGGTTGTTGATATTATAGATTTAATATGATTTTTGTAGGATTTAAAAGGGGTTGTTGATATGATAGAAGAATATAAAGAAATACTAGCAGGCATAGGTGAGGTATGACATAATGCTTTACTACAAGACATAAACAATCAATAAAATATAATGTAAAATAACATGAAAGCATTAATACTGTTGTAAATGAGGGTTTTTATAAAGGTCACATGATTTAGTGTGACGTAACTGATGTTAAATGAGTCACTTATTATACAGCTACCAAACTATCAACACGTAGCTGCTACAGCTAGTCTGCTTGAGTATTTGGTGGTTCAACATAGTAAGTTACGAAATATCACAATACCTATCAAAACAATACTGGGTTAGACTGTGGGGGCAAATACATGTAATCTTACATGCTTCACTTTAGATCATAAGATCTGTCGTTGGTGGTTCAGTCGTTTCGATCCCAAGCTTGTACAGGGACATGTTCAAGATGTTGAACAGTGGGGGTTTCAAGATCGAATTTTATAATATCAGAAGCTCTAAGACAATATTTCTGCTCATTTAGGTGCAGACATGTGTAAGCCAAAATGGCGGCAATGCTTGACACGTTTGTTTGTTCAACTTTATTTCGTTAAACACAAGTGTTGTAATTTTTCGATAGTCCCTAAAATATTTAGTTTCAGTGACAATATGTCCAACACAATTTTGAACTTTTTGCAGTTTTGGAACTTCTTCAACAGGAATACCAGTTACGGCAGTTGGTAACAAATTACAATGGTCAATTCTAAAAAGCACAAAGTATTAAACGAAGAATCTAATAATTTTAAAAAAACATATGAAACATGCTGTTTTTTAATCATAGAGCCATATGTTGTTCTTTTGTAATGAAAATGCAAAATGGGTGTTATTTATAACAGACTGTTGGGGGTTGGATGGCTGAATGGTTAGCGCGTGCGGGCTGTAAGATAAGGTCTGTGATTGAGTCAACTGGCATGGTTTTGATTCCCCGGTTGTACGTGACAAGGAGTGGGGTTGCCTGTTCAACCACATGGATTTTCTCCGGTTGCCTCCCACTGCTAGGGACCCCTATGTCCAAGGGAATTATTGAAATAAAATTGAACCATTTGTTAGTCCCAAAATGACCTAGTTATTGTACTGATTATTCAACAGGTTGGTCTTGACTTCAGTCCAAGATTTGTGAAATCTGATGGCAGTAAAGATGAACAGAGACAAGTCTTAACAAAACAGGTGATTATCTCCCTTTTCGCTGTTTCATTGTAGATACTCGATTGAACGTTCCGGAATTAAATTATCTCCATTCCGAAAATATTGTCAATCGAGTGAAAAGGAGAATTTCAGAGTACAGTGCATTTGTTGACTGCAACAAAAATATCTCAACCAATCATGGCAGCTGAAACAGAACTGTGACAGGGCTGAATTCCGTATCACTTTGAATTCTCTCAATTCAGTACATTCCGGAGTGACAATCGAGCACCCCCAATGTGGAGCACTTTATGGAGGATGCTCAGTTGTCAGTCTGGATTGTTCTGAACTGCAATCGAGTCATGCAGAATTAATGATTGACGTTTATTATTATTTGTAGATAGAAATAGCAGACAGACTGGGATTACCTATGTAAGTTTTAGAAATTATGTTTTTTGTTGCATGAACACAGGGGGTGGGGGGCATACGGCGTCAGTGGTCAGAACTAGATTGACTGTTGTTGTGTCAACACAGGGGTGGTGGGAGGGGAGTGTGGTCAGTGATCAGAACTGGGTTGACTGTTGTTGGAATTTGAAATAAGATTAGCCTGTAGTCCCGCTATCCGGGCAAAATTTCCCTCATAGCACACCGTATGGCGTAAGCTCGTCTTCATTAGCCAAGTCAGTGCAGAACAGTAGGACTGTAAACATTATTTCATTTTGTGACTGATGTGACTAACTGACAATATGTTATCTTTCAGTAATGTGCATTCTAGATCAGCAGGAAGACCAACCATTACATTACTTAAAGAATTAGGTGATTAGAAAATTTTATTCTTTAGTTCAGAGCTATTAGTATTATTTATGATGAACAATTGAATCTTTTAATATTGATTTTATCCAGTGCTGGGCCCTTGCCCTTATTCACGAAAACTTAAACTAAGATACAATCGAAATTTTAAGAAATACTGCAATTCGATTGGCTGACCAGTAAAATCAATTTGCATATATCCAATTTGCATATTGGTCAGCCAATCGAATTGCAGTATTTCTTAAAATTTCGATTGTATCTTAATTTAAGTTTTCGTGAATAAGGGCCTTGGATTAAAGCTTGATGAGGGCCAAAGCTATATAAAGCATGGATATCTCTTGTTCAAAACTTACACCCGTAGATCTCACAAGTTGGGCAATTTCATAAACTACAGTACACATTAAAAGTTGTAATTTAAAAAAAAAAAAGAAAAAGAAATTTAGATTGTGAGGTCCAAAGATGTATCTTGTTTAGCTCATGCCTAAATCCGGTAATTAAGGTCATAGTTTAGATTAAATTTAGTCCATGATAAGTAATGAAAATGAAACGAAATGAGGTTTAACATCCTACTGTTCTGCTCCGATCTGGGCTAATGAAGATGGGCATATGCCATACAGTGTCGTATGAGGGAAATTTTGCCCAGACAGCGGCACTACGGCCTACTCTTATATCGAATTCCTACTGTCAGGGGATCTTTTACATGCATGCCAATGTGTACACAAGACCTCTTTTTTTTTGTTCCATCCAAACGACTAGACAGCTGTCCTTTTCAGGCCCTCCGTCCTGCATCACTGAAATGGTGGAACCACGCCTGAAAATCTGGATGAAATTTCTCAACCAATGCAGAGATAGAACACCTGACCTCCAGGCTAGCGAGCCAGCGTCTAACTACTTAACCATCATGACCCCCACCATGATAAGTAAGACACAGCAGTTGTCTCGTTGAATACAATTTAGACTGAGAGCTCTACATCAACAGTGAATGTGATTTAAATTTATTTTAACTTTACTTCAGGTGTAAAGAAAGCTCATTTACATGCTTTTGATGGCAGACCGTCTGTTGCCATGGAGGGTGTTCGAGAAGGTTATTACTTTTCAATCCCTCCCTCTATAATACGCAGTGAACAGGTAAGTTTCATTCAGTGTGAGTTGTTGGTTCAGTGGTCTAAAGTAATGTTTTATGTCATACATCCCTGTCAACTATGCAAACGAGTATTCATTCGAACTATTGTACAAATGACAACAAGTAGAGTCTTTGGCCAAACATTGTGGGGTTTCCCCAGAGCTCCTTGTTCACTGGGATTTTCCAGTGTGATTTTCCCTAGTCAGTGGTGCAGGACAGAAGACCTATCAAGGAACTGTGTCTAGTTGTGCACGTAAAAGAACCCTTGACTGTTGAAATAAGAGTAGGCTGTAGTGCACTGCATGGCATAACCCAGTTGGTTGAATCCCACTTCTAAGCCATTTAATGAAATAAAAATATATATATCACATTTTGGTCGAGAAATATCCCCCTGTGGCAAGGTTTCGTCCCTATCAATCTGTTTCCCTGAGATAATGGGAAAGCCTCCTTTTACAAGATGGCTGACCTTTAAGGTCACGCCCAGTATATGTGAGTAGCTTTCCATGTTGTAGGCAATATACCACCTCTTGTGGGTGCCACAGCTATTCCCATGGCTGTGGCAGTTTGGGGCGGTCTTAGCAGCTTTAGTTTCAGGTGGCCCCAGTGTTAAGATATCTTTCTATTTACGTGATTTGTGCCACTGTCATAGTATTTTTGCTGCGTTGCTGTGCACCTTTTTAACAGCCAAAAAGTTGGTCTAATGCAAATATAATTGGACTGTACTGTTTCCATGTAACCACCGAAAACGCAAGTGGAAACAGGCCTTAGAATTATTATCCCATGCAACAGTGGAAATCGGAATGAATCTTGTACTAAGTTTCTAATGTTATTTTTTTTGTTTTGTGTAAGAAGCAAAAACTGGTAACACAGATACCATTAGATAATTTATTATTGGAAACAGATTCTCCAGCTCTTGGTCCAGTTAAACAGGTGAGGATGGCATTTAAAACAAAGAGAGAGAAAAGGTGTCTAAAGTCCACTCGACACAAACTAGGTCGTTTTTGGACTAACATATGGTTTAATTTTATTTCAAAAATTTGCTTGCGCTTAGGGCTCTTTAGTAGTTTTAGGAAACCGTAGAAAACCCACAGAGTTGAACAGACAACCCTTCTCCTAGTCATGTACAAGCAGGGAATCGGAACCATGTCACTTGACTCAATGACAGACCTTATGATCTAAAGTACACACGTTAAACTATTCGGCCACCAGATCCCCCACTAAACAAGGAACTAAACAATCTATATTATCAGACCGGTAGGGTATTAGGTACTTTTGGCTGTTGTGAGCTAAGCAAAAGTTTTTCTGTCAAATGCATTCAAAGTTCAGACTGAATTGGTGTCGCAAAATTACCTCTTGATAATTACATTTAAGCCACGTCTGCTTTGCAAAAAGAAATGAATTGAAATTCAACATTCTACTTTTCTGCACCAAGGGAAATTTTGCCTGAACATTTCATTGAATTCCAACTGTCAAGGGTTCTTTTACGTGCACACTAACAAGTATGATTAGATGCCCTTTCCTTGCCAGGTCTCCCTTCTGCACCACTAACGAGGAAACCATGCTGTCAATCTTCCAGGAACTTTCTTAGTCATCGAATTAGGAAAGATTATCCACAGTATTTCAAAAGTTAACTAATTCATTACTGTAATATGTCTGTTTGTTTTTTTGATTACTTCAGGAGAGAAATGTTCCGGCCAACTTGGATATAGTGGTAGATTATATTGCTAAAATAAAGAAAGTTGATCCCTCTGAGGTCCGACGAATTACAACACAGAATGCAATCAAGTTATACCCCAAATTAGCCAGATTCCTTGTGAAATAAGGATATTAATGACATAAATTTAAATACTTTACAGGAATTAAATATGAAAAATAACGAGTTGCACCTATTTTTTTTTATTACGTACGAATTTGAATATTTTGTTGATGCAAGATTTTTAATTGTGGTCTGAAACCGCCTGCTTAAATAATGATAAGTTATTCGCCTTTACTTTTGGTAAAAATGTCTGACAAGAAAAAATTTGAAATCCAAACACTGAATAAGACACATTTAACATAGTAGCTTTAGGTTTCTATTGTGCCATACATTGGAAAGGAAATTAAATTTTGATTTAACATCTTTTTGTTCTGGACTAATGAGGGTGGGCATAGCCATACACTGTGCTACGAGTCCTAATTAGGGCGGTCCAAATGCTAAAGGATTAATTTGCTGCAAATGATATACACTGGACCAGAGAGAGAGAGAGAGAGAGAAATGGGGTTTAACGTCCACTCAACACAAACTAGGTCATTTCGGAACTAACATATGGTTCAATTTTATTTCAATAATTTGCTTGCGCGTAGGGGTCTTTAGCAGTGGGAGGAAACTGGAGGACCCGGTGAAAACCTACAAGGTTGGACAGACGACCCTACTCCTTGTCACGTACAACCGGGGATTTAAAACCATGCCAGTTGACTCAAGGACAGGCCTTATGATACAGCACGCACATGCTAACCATTCGGCCATCCACGCCTCCACACTGGACCAGAGTTTATTCATCTCATTTCAATGACTAGATGCTTCATCTCAAACAGCCATACTGACAAAGGAAAAGCTGACTGGAAAATCTCTAATTCAATTTTATTTCAATAATTTATTTCATGCAAGACCCACTTCCTCCTTACGTGCATGCTGAGAAGAGAAACCACCTCACTTGACTCAATGACAGATCATTGAACACCCATCCCCCTGGGTGATTTATAAGAATGCTAAACTGAGTACACCACATGAGTTAAATGATTTAACTCTTGATAAAAAAAAAAATATTTGAACCATTGATCCGGAACTCCTGTGAACTTTCAGCCATGGGACCAATGATTGGAATATGTCTCATTAACACATTACTTTGATCATTTCGAGACTAACATGGTTAATGCTAGGGAGAAGAATTTGGCCACGATAGAGACATTTCCATCTACTCATTATCAAATTTCATCTGTCAATGGTTCTTTTAGCTATATGTTTACACTGGTACAAGATAAATGGGGGGTTGTGAGTAGGGGATCTTTGAAATCGGATAATGTTTAAACCCACTTGCTAATTAAAATCATTTATAAAGATCTGAATATTTTTTCAAAAAATGTAAATAAGCATGAAAACGGAAATTTAAATTTTGTTTATTTTTAACAAGGAATAAAGTTGATGAAATATCATGACCAGATAAAAACATTTAATATAATACTGACTTTTGTCTTTTCACAGGGTAAATATAATAGTATAGTTTGGGAAAAACTATGTTAGATATTAAATATAGAATTCTGTAAATATAATACCAAATTCTTTCACATTAAATATAGCATTGACAAAAATAATGACGACTAATAACATTCTTAAATATAATACTGGCTTGTCTTTTCACAAGGTAAATATAATACTTTTCTTTCACAGCATTCTGGAAAATAATACTGACTTCTTCCACAAGTTAAAATATTAAATATAGCATTCTTAAAATTAATACTGACTTCTTGAAAATAATACTGACTTCTTTCACATGTGAAACTAATTAATGACTTCTTCCACATGTTAAATATTGACTTCTTCCACATGTTAAATATTGACTTCTTTCACATGTAAAACTAATACTGACTTCTTTCACATGTAAAACTAATACTGACTTCTTCCATTATCTAAAACTAATACTGACTTCTTCTACATGTTAAATATAGCATTCTTGAAAATAATACTATACAGCATTGTATTATTAGAATAATTGATAATAATAGACATCCTTTATATGTTAAATATAAATATAATAGCTTGAAAAAAATACTGACATGTTAAATATACACATAATAATAGCGTTCTTGAAATAATACTGACTGCTTTCAATTGTTAAAATATTAAATACAGCATTCTTAAAAATAATACCGACTTATTTCACATGTAAAATGTTAGTAACAGAATTGTATTACTGTTAGCATAAAATTCTTGCATAATCCCTTACAGAGGATTGGAAGCACATTATAAATTTCATATAATAACTAACACTGATTTCTATTAATTAAAATATTACCAAATTACATCAAACCGGGTAAAAATATTACAAAGTATTCATTCAAATAATATTAACTATACTGATATTTCACAAGATATAACAAACATAATTATAACACTTTTTTTTTTTAATGAAATAAAGAATTCCATTCACACGACTTTGACAATAATACTGAAGCAAGGTATTTTAACAACTTATTATAGTGTTTTCACACATTTCAACAAAATATATAAGAAAAAAAAATCTGATGGGCTTTATTTTTGATAATTGATTATTGAGTGACTTTGTATGAATCAATTAGTAAAATTCGGCCAAGTTATGGTTTCTTTCAAGGACTAGCACGGGTCAAAGATTTCCATTCTTTTTTTCAATCATTTGTGTAGCTTAAAATTCATACAACCTTAAGCTTATCTTGTTCTAAACTTTCCACTGACAAGTATCTGAAAGTAAATAAGTTTCAAACTAAAATATACAAACTGAGAAACACAATCTTCGACTTTCTTGAGTAGTTTACTTAGCTTTTCAGGAAAAAGGTGATACCTAGCCATAAGCCCATATTAATTAGGGTTTCACACTGCGTAGCTTGTGTGAAACACTATTGTTTTTGTTAAAATTATTATTCTTATTATTATTATTCTTCTTTTGAGTAGATCTCAGCAACTGCTTGTCGGATCGTTACGATTTCTTCGGTTTTACTGGAAAAGTGGGTGTGACTTAGAGGATAAAGCTATTTTGAACGTTCTGCAACAATGCGAAATGTCCAAAATCACCGAAGCTATCGTTTTTAGAAATATTGCAGTAATTTTAACAATAATCATACTATTTTAACTTTCGATACATTTTGGCATAGCTGGAGACGGGGCACATAGCTACGCTACTTTTGATTTTCGGCAAATCTTCGCAGATATTAGGCGCCAAATTTTGAAAATTTAAATTTTTACAAAAAACTTTTTTATTTATAAATATTTTTTTATTCGTGTTTTACGCAAATTTAACGAGTCATCTGACTTGAGCAAAAATCTGAATTTTTTTTGTCTCATTAATTTTCCTTGGCCGCCATTGACTAATTCAGTTTTTCAGTCCTACATTAATTATTTATTGTTCGATTTGTTTAAAACAATTTTGACAGTTAGGTACCACTTTTCGAAAGCAAATATTATTTTTTTCAAATCTGGTAAAACTGAAAGGGTGCGCCCTTTACAGGCGCACAAAATGTTGGGCCCAGTTTTTTTAATTTCGATTCCGTTTTCGGGCTATTTCGATTAAAAGGTGATAAAAGGTGTAAAATTAAGCTATTTACAACCCATCCAGCGTTTTCATATTTTAAAATATTACTTCGTAACTTTCATAAACTCGTAGCAATAATCTATACGGAGAGAATGTATGTGAAAATTAATTTGTAATATGCGCAGTTGCCGAGAAATGGTCAATTTTGCAGGAGTCACTCTTTATGCTATTGTGCCTGTAAAAGAGTCAATTATTATTGGATTTTCATAAAAGTGAAACCATTTGATGCATAATGTCAATTGTGACTAGTTCAACTCAATTTAACATTTTCAATGTCACCAGAAATGACGAAATTTGGACAAAAACTGTATTTAGAGCCTTCGAAACAAATAATTTATTCAAATGAGTTGTATTTGTTGTTTGTTTAAGATTTTGATATTTGATTCTAATCAACTAAAAGAATGAACCCATACGATCATATAGATATCACAAAATGGTTTCTAACTTGTTCAGTTGCGGAGAAATAGGCAATTTTCAACAGGTCACTTTTCAAGGTTTTTTGTCCATAAAAGTGTCAATTATTATTCGATTTTCATGAAATTTTCACTGTGTGATACCTAATGCCATTTTCGATTTCATACAAGTAATTTAAGATTTTCATTATCACCAAAA